CCGTCTTTCATGCAGTGGCACTGTGGATTTTCGGGTCCGCATGGACCGTGAATCATATTTTTTACAATAATGTCATGGAGAGTCTTGTCAATGTTAGGATCCGGTATTTCAGCGCTGATTATGTTATCTATTTGATCGGGTCGTAACTTATCTTTTAACCACAATAATATATGGACATGTGGCAGTCCACGTTTCTGCCATTCGACAGAGTACATAAAGCAGCGCACTTCTCTGAACACTCGGCCTTTATTAATCACATCCATTAGTTTTTTAACTTTTAGTCTAAAAACTCTTGCGACTACATCATGTCTATCTATTGCGCTTTGCCCCGGCATCAACTGATTGACTATTTCGGGCCAGGCTGGGTTGCAAGTAAAGGTGACGAATAAGTCAGGGCGACCATGTGTACGCACATAAACAAACGCGTCCTGAGTATATTCGTGTAAGTACCGCGGGCTATTTACAAATGAAGATGGTAAAATGACCATACGACCTAAGTTATTTGGATTTAAATTAGCGTCATTTGCCACAGCGTCTTGAAGATGGATGTAATTCTCTGCTCTTAGTTTAGTTTGATTTAATGATATGTACCGTAACCTCTCGCTTTCAACTTTAACGTACATGTCAACGTAAAACTGATTGGCCAGTTGCTTGCATCTTTGTACAATGTTAAAGTTGTTTTCTCGTATCATCATGTTGTAGGCATAAAAATCCATGCATGAAACCTTTTTGTTATGCAAGGGAAGACCTGTTACAGGATTAATTTGAGGAACTTGAAAGTGGTACCCCTCTTGTCCCTTACTAAATATGATCGGATATTGCAACGCATCATAAAATTTATGAGTATCAGGCACCCTGGTTAATGTGTCATCTCGGGCCTGTAAAACTATATCACGGAAAGCAAACTGTTCGCCTGTAACCAAGGCTGCGACTTCATTTATTAACGGTGCATTATACCGCCTTTCATGTTCCCCACTTGGTGTGCGATCGGGGTGCATCACCAACCTATAATCCTCTCCCGGCATTCTTTCTAGTGCTGTTTTGAAAGTATTGATAAGGCGATTATGTTCATGCAACATTCTCTGGATTTTTAAAACAGTATCCCTTTCGATTCCTTGTATATTTTGACACCTGCGATCAGCTTCGTTTTTTTCATCGCCCATGAAATAAAGTTGCAAAAACTTTGGTTGTTCATTATTTGCGGGAAGTAAGGAACCAATCCTGTGATACACCTGTCCTTGGATGGTAAAAGTAGGTGAAAATCCAGGCATTACGACCTCCTTATCTACACCAAATGACGTCATCTGAAAGCAAGAATTATACTTTCTAATCCTGCTTAAAAACCGGCGCGATTCGTTACTGTCGTATAAAAGTAAAGATTTAAGAGGTTCCTCTGGTTCGCCAAGTAATGGAATTTTAACCTTTCCACCAGAACAGCACATACCTGGAGTTTCTTCTTTCCATTTCAGTGCTTCACAATATCTGCATTTTTTATCCATTCTCCCAATGATAACCAATCGGTGATTAACATAGTCGATCAAAGGGTCATACTCAAAAGCGGCACCATTAAATGCCTCCCACGTACTCATTGAAAACGTACGTCTTCTTTCTGCCTGCCGTTCAGCATTTAAAAGACGTCGTCTTTGTGAATCTTCGTCAGTCTCTGCCGCAATCAATTGCGCGTGACGTTCGGCATCTAAAACTCGACGTGTCTGAGTCTGTTCCACTGTCTCAGCAGCTCTTTGAGATGCGTGGCGTTCAGCATCCAGGGTCTGACGGGCCTGAGTCTGCGTAAACGTCTCAGAGGCCCTTTGAAATGCGTGGCGCTCAGCATCTAAGGTTTGTCGGGCTTGAGTCTGCGTATAGGTCTCAGAGGCCCTTTGAGATGCGTGGCGTTCAGCATCCAGGGCCTGACGGGTCTGAGTCTGCGTAAACGTCTCAGAGGCTCTTTGAGATGCGTGGCGTTCAGCATCTAGGGCCTGACGGGCTTGAGTCTGTGTAAACGTCTCAGAGGCCCTTTGAGATGCGTGGCGCTCAGCATCTAAGGTCCTACGGGCTTGAGTCTGCGTATAGGTCTCAGAAGCTCTTTGAGTCGCATGACGCTGAGAATCTAACATCTGACGCGTCTGAGTCTGCTCTTCAGATTCTTGGCTTCTAGCAACTTTTGCAGTTCGAGCTCTGCTAGAACTACGGCTTAGATTGGATTTACGTTTGCGTGGCATATCGAAAACAATAAAACAATAATTAAAGATTTGTAAAATCGGTAGTTTTAAAAACTACAACGTAAGACAATTTTTTATAAAAACTTCGATAAAGCAAACTTTTTTACTTATAACCTAAATATCTAAATCAATCAATAACGTATTGAACCGAAACAACTATGCACCTGACAAACCTTTTATACCTAAAACCTAAATTAACTAAATAAATTCAAAAATATTGAATTTATGTACCACACCACAATACACAATTTTCTTCACTACTGGTACTACCTACTTATCTATCAAAACTAACATAAAAGTACTATAATATAATGACAAAATCTATTACTAAACTAATTTACTACGAACTATAAACATCCTGATGTGAGCTAAAAAACACTTAACCTACACATGAATAAAATTGAGAATTAACAAATGAAAGCGACTGCAAAAATAAAGAATAATACGTATCTGAGTAAACCTAGAGATATGAATGATTGGTTAAGAAAATACCTACATCTAACAGCTACCTTAACTACCTAATAATAAAAATGTAACTAAGTACTTAATAAAAATACGAAAATGACGTCAACTTGGACTCAAAAATAATCTACCAAATATTTATTTAGATATCTAAAACAAAGGACTAAATTAAAGCTTACAGACCCTACGCGTAGACCGTAGTACCTATTTCAACTCTGAATTTAAAAAGAACGTTTTTAGCTAACCAAAAATACGCAACGAATAGAGTTTCGTAACGCAATATTTCAATATTCGCATACGTGCGACGACGACGTCTGCCCTCGTGCGTCTGCCCGCTTGGGTAGGCACAGTTGGGCACGGCCCTCCCCCTCGCGCCGCACCGCCTCTTCGCTCGGCGCAGCGTCTTGTATTCACTACGACGACGTATGATTTGAAGGTTTGCGTTATATTGAATTATTTTCCCTCGTTGAATAGTAAACAAACTAAGTGTAGGTGTTATAATTTCGGTGATGAACTGATTACCTATCCGTTTCTTTGTCTAAAATGAGTATTAACTTATCACTATGATTGATTACTGAGCATAAAGTTCGTATAAATGTCTATCTAATTACCTCCTCAAGTTTAAAGCGTAGCTAGTTATGTAGTACTATATTAATTCTGTGGTGTAGGTAATTAGATTTTATCTGTATGTAATTTAACAGTCAGTTGAATAAAAAATCGTATACAAATCAGATCAATAGCTATGGCGTAATGTGATTCTAGACAGAGTTTTAATGTTGTAGATAGGTAGCTGTGTATAGGTTCCTGTGGGAATGAGATATTTTCCCGAAGTAAAAAGTAGTCTGAATTTTGGTACCTTCCTACCCTATAAGTTAAGTAGTGTGATGGTATGTCGCTAAGTTTCGATCCAAGTAAAACTGTTAAATAAAGACAGATGCATCAAAATTTTATAATAAATTCCCTAAATTATGGCGCCTACCGACCCTCTAAGTTAGAAAAGTGATCAAATACTAACTTTAAGTCTTAGTAACACTCATTTAAAAAAAAACATCAAAATCATTTCAGTAGCTATGGCGTCATTCGCTTCTTGACACGATCACGCTAGATTTCCGCGGGAATGAGGTATTTTCCCGCCGTAAGAAGTAGCCTGTGTCCGTGTCTAGGATCCTATCTTTATATTAACCAAGTCTTATAAAAATCCGTTCAGACGTTAAGGCGTGAATGAGGTAAACTTTTAAACCAAACTATTAAAAATCACTAACTTAATTAGTTTTCTGCCTACTGCCTACGCCTTAAGTACGATAGCATGAATATTAATAGCCCATATCCTTTTCTAGGTTACTATCTATCACCTAACTAAATTTCATCAAAATCCGTTCAGCCGTTTAGGCATGATAGAGCAAAATTCCCACCAAAAACCATAAAAAAAATCACTAACTCAATTCAGTTTTCTGCCTACTTCCTACCCCCTAAGTACTATGACGTGATCATTTTGATCTTATATCCGTTTTTAGGTAACCATCTATTACCTTACAGATCTGTTCAGCCTTTTATACGTGAAAGAGCAAAAGTCCCAACAAAAACGACTAAAAATCACTAACTCAATTTAGTTATCTGCCTACTGCCTACCCCCTAAGAACGATGGCGTGATTATTTATAGCCTATGACCATTTCTAGGTTATCATCTATCACCATACCAAATTTCATCAAAATCCGTTCAGCCGTTTAGGCGTGAAAGAGGAGCAGACAGACAGACAGACAGACAGACAGAGTTACTTTCGCATTTATAATATTAGTATGGATTATGAACTTTTTAAAATTGTCATGTTGTACCTCCGTAATAAAGCTAATAATGCATTGTCACCACTGAGGACTGAGATGAAATGTCTGACAGCCTGTAATTATGCTGGCTCTCTTAATTCTTCAAATTGGACAGCACAGTGTGTGCACCGTGCACTGTTGTTTATTGACGAAAAGAGGTAAAAGAGTGGTAGTACGTACCTAGATGGACCCTAAGGCAGAAAAGTCAATCTTACCACCCTAAAAATAATTACACATAACCATATAGAAATAGTCAAAATCTACAAAATATATTGCCCCATAAAAATAAAATTGGTCCAGATTTGAAGAGAAAACCCCTGTTTTCTTTGTATTCCCATGAATATCGTGAGATGATGATTTTGTTTAGTTTTCATATATATATATGGTTGTTTCAGAATGGCTACCATCAAATTATGTTTCAAGGATCCAAATTAAAACAATATGAGTGAACCACAGCTGTTAGAAGAAAGCTATCTTAATGAGGGTAGCATAACTATGCCGCAGTCAGTCAGGGAGGTTCAAGAGCACTGGAAAGAATTTGCATGTGGTGGAGGTTCTGCCTTTTGCAATATATTGATTAGCTATCCACTGAATAAGATTATATTTAGACAGGTAAGGTCTATTCAACTCCACCCTGTTTATGAATAGAGTAATTACTAGCGTAGAGAATATCCTAAAATACGAGCAAAATTTTTATATCCAAAATTTCTAAAACAATATAGCTATATTATTCTCACCTTCATTGCTTAACAAGGTTGTTGCCATTTTTCATTCCGTAGATACATTGATTGATGTGCCATTAGTGAAACAAAAAATATTGTTCATAAATTTATTTACTCAATGAGTTCATAAAATTAAGGATTTTATTTAAGCCGGTTTGCAAAATATGTATATTTTCGCGAAGACAGGAAAGATAATTACGCTGGTGCTATAATCCTAGTTAATAGGTTACATTCTTTTATCAAGGTTTCACTTTCTGAACATAGTGAGGAATTAAACGTTGTAGCTTGTAAATGTAATGATATCACATACTTGTCTTTCTATATTCCTCACCTACAACTATCATTGATCACTGAAGTAAAATTTATAATTTCATCCATTGCTCCTCCTTTTATATTACTAGGTGATTTTAATGCCCACCATGTCTCATGGGGCTCATGCCGAAATGATACTTTTGGCTATCTCTTAATAGAATTGTTTGATGAATTTAATATTTGCATTTTAAATGATGGATCACCAACAAGGAGAGTATATCTATCTCAAAATCCTAAAAGTATTGTTGATCCAACTTTATGTACCCCAAATCTTGCATCCCATATTAATTGGAAAGTTTTATCTCACTCATATGATACTGATCATTACCCAATATTATTTTCTTTATATAACTGCTCAATACCAATTAGAGTTTTTTCTCCGATGTTAAAATATAATATAAAACAAGCGGACTAGGTTAAATTGTCATTGTTGTCAGATTCGGTACTCTCAAAATTTTGTAATAGTGACTCTAATGGTATAGAGACAAACTACAAAAACATTGTTGAGTACATTTTACTCACCGGAGACTCATGTTTTACACGAAAAATTTTGCCTTCTACCAAAATAGGTTCTCCCTCATGGTGGGTGAGGAATGCACACTCAGTGTTAGAAAATGAAAACAACCTGAAAGTCTGTATTCTTCCAATATATCTATTGAAAACTTTTTAAATTATAAAAAAATAGCAGATGAAACATTAAAACTGTTACCAGATAAAAAAAAGATGGGTTGGATGGTTTTGTGATACATACAATAAGTATTTGTATGGCCTACAAATCGGTCTGGGTCTGGATGTTTGTCTTTGTGTAATTTATGTTTGTAAACTGCCCCCGCCCCCATGATACAGGAGAAAATGCTAGTGTAGGGGTAACGTTTTTTTTTTAAAAAATCGAACACTTTATTACTCTACTAAGAACTTTACAAACTTAAGTTATCATCTTAACTCTGCATTGTTCTACTTAAATAATTGGCTTACTGATAATGGTCTGTTCTTATCACCTACAAAGAGTAAAGTAGTTATATTCTCTAGAAAAGGTTTTGTCCCAATATTTCAACCTCATTACAAAATCAAATAATTCCAACAAGTGATAATGTTAAATTCCTAGGTGTTTTTCTGGACTCTAAGATGATAGGTATTCCTTATTTAACGTTTATTGCCCAAAAATTCGAAAAGAATGTAAATATCCTTTGTTCACTGACAAGTATTTGATCTGTGGGGATCTCATCCATATTGTTTAAAACTTTTATATAACGCCCTAATCCGTAGTCATTTTGACTATGGTCTAGCTCTTAAGCTTTTAGATAAAATCCAATTCAAGTGCTTACGAATTATCTTGGTGGCCATGACATCATCTCCGTCAAATGCTCTACAAGTTGAATGTAACAAACCTCCTTTTAACCTATGTAGACAGTATCTTGCTGATCGCTTTATATATAAAATATTTCAGCTATATTCACACCCACTTCTTTCTAAACTGCATTCTTTAAACTCTGGTTTTAAGAATAACAATTACTGGACTCATAAAGACGTTCCCTGCATCCTTAAAAGCTACCAAAAGACCTTTAAATTTCTAATATTTTAAGGTATGATTACTCCTCTGTTCGTATATCTGTTTGAAGATCTATGTTATCATCCTCCATTTATTTTAGATTTTGGTGTAACTAAAAATTGCCTTGTAGCCCAACAGACATTTTTAAGTATATTACGTGAAAAATGGGAACGGTGGTTGACCCTTTTTACTGATGCCTCTAAGCTTTCTGATAATAGTTTTGTGGGTTCATCTGTCTGGATACCGAAATATAAAATTATTTTAAATTTTAAAAATTCAAATGCTACTTCAGTTTTCACTGGTGAAGCTGTTGCTATTTTAGAAGCAATTTTATTTATAGAAGCGCACAAAATTAACAAGCAGACAGGCAGCAACATTCAGCAGGGATGGGAGATATGATAAGGATATTGAACGACAAGTGAATGCAGGAAATAAAGTAAATGGGGCTCTACACTCTATTGTGAAAAGTCAGAATGTGTCCAAAAAGGCACATATGGAAATTTACAGTGCTGTATTAGTCCCTACTTTAACATATGGTAGTGAAAGTTGGGTGTGACAGAAGAAGCACGAGAGTAGAATAAATGCAGTAGAAATGCGGTCGCTAAGGAGTATGTTAGGGCTGAATCTGACTGACAGGGTGAGAAACTGTGTGATAAAAGAAGATTGTGGTTTGCAAGATGATGCAGTGACCAGGGTTAAGAAAGGAATGCTTTGGTGGTTTGGTTTGGTCATGTAGAAAGAATGAATGCGGAAAGACTGACAAAGCAAATATATGTTGCAGAAGTGAATGGGACGGAAAGGGACGTCCTAGGCGGAAGTTTATCGACCAAATTGGCGATATACTAAAAATGGGCCAAATTAAGAGTACCCTTAACCGACAAGCATGTATGCGTAGGTATGTGGAAGTGAAAGAGGCGAGAGTGGTATGTCAGGATCATGCTAAATGGAAGTCTGTAGTCTCTGCCTACCCCTCTGGGTGACAAGCGTGAGTGTTTATGTATTTATTATGTACAAAATTAACAAATGTATCGTTTTTACTGACTCATAATTCATTACAAGGCATTTTATCTAACCCATTTCGAAGTATATCAAATCCCAATTATTTTTAAAATATTACACTGTATAGATGTTTTTGTCAAGGTTTCAAGCAAGTTTCAAGTTTATACCTGAAACTTGTTTGGTTGCCAAGTCATAGTGGAATACATGACAAAAAAATTGTCGATTCCTTAGCAAAACAAGCATCTACTTCTGGTACCCTCATGCATCATATAACATATACTCATGACCTCATTTTTCTTGCAAAAATCCATCAGATGTCAGATTGTAACTCTCTTTGCAAAAAATCTCAGAAGTCTATCGGTAAATATTTTGCAGAACTCAAACCTGACATCCCCTCCAAACCATGGTTTTTTAAATTCAGTAATGGCTCCAAACATAGTAGATCTGTCATATGTAGAATTAGATTATGACACACTTGTTCACCTGTATATTTGGCAAAACTTAAGATTAAAGATAGCTCAATTTGTGAGTGTAGATTAGACGAAGGTATGATCAATCATAAATTTTTTAACTGCCCTAACCACTCCTTTTGTACAAACCTTATTAGACTTCATATCCATTAATAACATTAAACGAAAGTGCTTATTCTGTTTACCTGTATACATTTTATTATTTATGTGTAATTCATTCGAAAATAACTACCTATGTAACTTCGTAACATAAAGCTAAGTTAGCATTTCTACGGAAACGAAAACTAGTCGAATACTCTGTGTGACTTTCATGAAATACTTGACGTTGGCAGAATCCATTGGAAGTAGTCAAACTAGGGAAAAAAAGCGTATTTATCTCAACGAATGTTAACAAATGCTTATTCTGACATTTTACAACAAAAATGTAGTTGAATAATGAGGAATTTTGCACAATTTTACATGTGGTAGAGCCATGCTGCAGCTATATTATTGTTGTAGCATGAATGGATCGGCTAAACCGGGGAAGATTCACAAAACACTAGCGTAAAATAGCAGCTCAATGTTACTGTGTTTCATATGATGAGCTTAGAGAATAGGAGATCCTTTTCACTGGAAACGAAGCGTTCCAACTTAAGTTTTTTATGTTTTTCATCTGCAGTCCTCAGGCGTGGCAATACATCAAAATTTTAATTCTTAATGAAGGATAGATGTAGATGTCAATGGCCAACAGCATCCACTTACCATCAGGTAGACTGTGATGCTCGTTTGTTACCTTTATTCTATAAATAAAAATATTGTGGTTAGTCAAAATATATGAGTATGATTAAAAATCACTATAAAATCTAATTAAATTCAGCCAGTATATTTCTGCTAAATATTTCGTTGCGCCACAAGCTAAATGAACTGAAGCCTGTATCAGAGTTTCCAAACTATATATAAAACTTCGTTCTGTTTTTAATATGGAGTGGTGGTTGCTCCCCAGACTGAACACATATGCACATATACACACACATTGCCTAGTGGAAGATCTATCACTCAATGGGCAAAAAATAATTATAATTATGTATAAATTTGAAATTACTAATTTTTAGTTAAAATCTAAACATATGAGCTATTTCTTCTTTTGTTCAGATGTCATTATTTTACTATCAGTCCCAATGTCGTAGTATAATCTGAGCATATTCCGAGTCTGCACTAGCACTACTTGCAGAAAAAACTCTTGATCCGACTATTTTGTTGCGTTTATTTAAAATTTTCGTCGTTTAGAGTGCTTCGCAGCATCCTTGGACACACGGGGACAGATGTTTGACATCCTGATTTTGTGTTATAAAATTTTAAGTGACAAATGCACTTACAGTCGTCTACCTGATGGTAAGTGTCTACTACAATCCAACACAGACACCTGCTGCCAACTTCAAACAAAGAAGCCTACAGATGTGTTGTTATGTATGAGGATGAAGATGGAATGCCTCACAGCGTATAATTATACTTACACTGGCTCTGTATATCCTTCAGACCAGAACACAGCAGTGCAAGCTCTGCTATTTGGCGGCTGATATAGATAAGGGTACCTAACCAGACACACTCTTGGGCAGAAAGGGTGTCCTATAATACATAGTAAAAAATGATATCATAATAAGTCTGAACTCCCTTCATATTATAATTATTAATTTTGTTTGACCATGTAAATGTGTTAAGAGAAAGCAATTTTTTTATGAAATAGTATTGTGGTCCATAGAGCTTCATCATCATCATCGTCACAGTATAAAAGTCCATTGCTGAACATAGGCCTCCCCCATAGATTGCCTCATAGGGGGATTTTGCCATAGTTGACACTCTTGGCGAGCGGATTGTTAATCGCTGTTTTTTTATTATTTTGAGTTGTTATCAGGGAGATGCTACTGCTCATCACCTGTTTCATTTTCCCTCGGTTGTCTCTTACGGCACCCACGGGACGAAATGGGGTTGTGGATATTCGTACACTGCCACTACACTACCATAGAGCTTAAGAGCGAATATTTATTGTACATTGAATTATTTGTGGTGTAAGGATAAAATGCAAATATATCTTCAAGTGCCACTCTCATCTACACCTATAATTACCCCACCCCCACTGCTTGAAAGTTGATGCTCTGGTCTGGTGACAGTCTGATGTTGAAAAAATTATGATGGTGGGCTAATGCAGCTTGCCAACTACATTTTTACTTACTTGTTTTACTAGATTTTGATTAAAATAATTCACTACACTGATGATATAACTATTTCATGGCACTGCAGGTATTGGGTATTCATCCTAACTTAGTAACTTTAATTAAGTTAAATAGAAAATCAAAAACGATAATATATGCAGCAGATACATTTAATATTATCTTTTATTTTATTTTAGATGATGCATGGAGTAGAAGCAACACTAGCCTTAAACCAATTGCAGAAAGAAGGCTTGGGCTACTTATATCGTGGAATGCTACCTCCACTACTGCAGAGGTCTTTGTCAATGTCCCTTATGTTTGGTGTATATGATGAATGTCTACAACCACTTTTGCAACAAAAAATTAATCCGTATATTGCCAAATCTGTAGCTGGAGTTGTTGCCGGGTGTTTTGAGGCAACTCTGATGCCATTTGAAAGACTACAAACCCTGCTTATTCATCCTAAATATCATAAAGAGTTTAAAAATACTGCACATGCAGCAAGTCATATTGCAAGGCATTATGGTATAAAGGAATTTTATAGAGGACTTGTACCAATCCTCTTCAGAAATGGTCCATCAAATGCAATGTTTTTCATTATTAGAGATGAAGTGAATTTAAGATTGCCGCGTCAAGATTATGTTGTGTACGATAGCCTACAGAATTTTATTGCGGGAGCTTCAATAGGCGCATTTCTTAGTACATTATTCTATCCCTTGAATGTTATAAAGATAGCTATGCAGTGTGAACTGGGAGGTCCACATAGAACAACTTTATATGAGTTTAAATACATTTTGCACAAAAGGGGCTCCAAGTTTGCCAATTTTTATCATGGTGCCCTGCTGAATATATCACGGGCGTTTCTAAGTTGGGGCATTATAAATGCCTCTTATGAAATTTTTAGGAAAATTTTATATACCTAGTCAACTTTAATTTGAATATGAAATATTCGACAAATATTTGTTATTTATTTTTTAATATTATGGGTAGGGTTTCACATTAAAGGGCGTGTGTAAATATTACAAAAATTAAGTATTGAGGACACGTGTATATTATTAAGGAACAGTGAATTAAAGCATTTATTGAAATTTATTCCCAACATTTCAAATAACTTATACATTTTGCGTTCACATAATGTAAATTATTTTTTAAAACTGTAATCAACATTTCCAGGTCTGTTGTAAGAAATAAAAACTGAAAAGGTCCAATTTATAACAGCTTTTTAAATATTAATCACCATGCAAGTTTCGATTTGCCATAAACAATACAAGATTTAATTTATTCTTGCACTTAGATGTACAAATACATACCGTAAACAGGGGTGAATGGGATATATTTTCGATGTTTTATAACTGTCATAATGTTCCAGACAGTATCCAACTTTCTAAGCATGAATAAGTTAAGTGAAACAATTAAATTTATCTAATACTAGCGATCCGTCCCGTCTTCGCACGGATGGTTTCTGGATCTAGACGACAGCGCCACATACCGGACAAACGTGACGTTAACAAAAATCGTTTAGATCATCCAGGGCATGTGTTTCAAGACGGTTCTCCTTAATCCACCCACTCCACAATAAACACAGACAATAAAAAATTATTAATAATTGATTGTTATATATAGAGATTATTCAAAAATATCTATAGATTTAAAAATTCTACAAATAAATATATGGGATTTCTATTTACCTCTCATCATGTGGCATTGAAGACATTTGAGGGGTGATTAAAAACAATTTTATAGGGCTGTCTAATTATTTTTTATACTTTTTATTTTAGGTTTAGATGAGTAAGTGAAACTAATAGTAAAAAGAAACAACGTTTATTAAAAATGTAGCATCAATTATTATTATTATAAAACATTTATTCTTATAATTATGTTATCAATTTCAAATTAACATCATTCAAATATTGTACAATATGGCGTTCCGTTCTGTATCTTCAACCATCATAATCTGTACTGTATAATCAGATTTATTAATTTTGTCATTTTTGCAATTAGCGGATGTTGAAATGTTTGGAGTGGCTTTGAATTCTTCCAAAGCTTCTTTGATTGTAGCCTGGTCATTTTTCAGTACTGCTTGCACCTTGGATCTGGTTTATAATTTCGAGGCATCTCAAGGTAACTGTGAATTTTAAAAAAAACAATAAGAATTAATAAAAAAATATTTCTTAAATATCATTTTACGCCACATAAATGTTAAGCGATGTAAATATTAAGATCAACGAAAATCCAAAATTATACCAATAAGCTATAAAGTTCGTGATCTCTTTTACAAAGGAAGTAGAAGATAGGTATACGATACCGTACTATAATATAAAACATGGTGACAACACCATCTTAAATATAACTAATCACCCCTCTTTTGTAACTTATCACCACTTTGCTGTATTTATTGACTATATTCGCGTATGCATCAACCTTTCAGGTGTATCTATTCACCCCATATGTGTTCGTGTTCGGGGTCCGAAAAGTTGAAGAAAATAGGCTAACGAAAAATTCATCTAATTTACGTAATTAACCATATTCTTACCTCAACTTCTGCAGCAAAATATGTTTCACAATATATATAAATAATACTACAATACAATACATTCATAATACTAACTAAGTACTAGGCAGTATTTATAAGCCAGTATTCACTAGATTTGCTTATTATTTATTTTTGTGATTTTTAACAATGCTGCTTTACTTTCCTATGTAGGTTTGTCAGATGAAGAAACACAATACTAGATGGGTAAGCCACACAATGAACTTGGTAGGATTTTTTGTAGGGCCAGCTAAGTTTGCCGCATAAACCTAGTTTTTTTTTAATCCTCCGGGCAGTTCTATTCACCTCTGTTTACGGCACACAACAAATAAAGAACCCAAGTTGCTTTATGTATCCGAAATGATAATTACAATCAATGTATAGGCGAAATAAATTTTATTGGGAAATGAAAACCGTTGTTTAATTTAGTCATTCACGAATCTCCAATTTTCCGGTATGTGAAATTAGTCATCAATATTGATGAAAGTAAAATTATTTGGATTTATTCTTGTACTGTGCAGTAATTGAAATAGCAATGACTTACAATGAAATATGTGTTATCGTGTGCTTTATTTGTGCTGACCACTTTCATCTCGAGTGGTAAGGCAAAAAAATTTACTTAATTCTTACTTTAACTTTTTATAACTTTAAATTATTTTCTGTCATTTTCTTTATTACGAGTGCAACACTGAAAATTTTTAGAAAATTAAAAACTGAACAAGCTAGCAAGTTATTAGCATTATTATATTTTTTTAAATTAGTGTCCATTTACATCAATACATCGCTGCATCCGATGGGACCACTGAGAAAAGCACTTTGCCTTCTTAGGGGTCGTCCTTAGGGTCCTTAGGGGTCTCTTCGACGGCATTTTGAAACGCAACCACTGCTTCCTCGGCGTCCATAAAACGTTTTCTACGAAGTTTTTCTTTTATTTTCGGAAATAGATAAAAATCGCAAGGCGCGAGGTCGGGGCTATAGGGCGGGTGATCCAGTAATTCCACGTCTGACGTCGCCGAGTAGTCGATTGTTTGCTTGGCGGTGTGCGACGAGGCGATGTCTTGGTGAAGGAGGATCCTAGTGCAAAGTCGTTTCTCCCGAACTTTTCTCAAGACAAGTGGCAAACAATTGTTAGTGTACCACTCTGCAGTAACTGTTTTCGATCCTCTAAAACAATTGATGCGTATAATGATTGATGAATGAGCATGACCTGTCCTTCCGAAGAATGAGGCCACCATCTTTTTCCCATGCTTCGATCTCTCTTCACTTTAGTTCTCGGAAGGAAACCCAGACAGCAGACTGTCTCTTAGTTTCGGGATCGTAACAATAAATTCAGCTTTCGTCACCCGTAATTATGTCGAAGTCACCTCCGTTAAATTTTTGAACCATTTTGAGACACCAATCAACACGAGGGAGTTTTTGAGCCTTTGTCAAATTATGAGGTATCCACCGGGCACAAAGCTTCCTGACCGCTAAATGTTTGACAAATTATTGAAATACATATTACGCAATAATATTGGCAAGTAGTTCCATTTTCAAAATTTTTACTTATTTTTTTTTATTATATCGTTTACAGGTGGCCAGTTCTAAAAACTTTCAGTGTCACCCTCGTATCGATGCTTATCAGGAGGTGGTTTGAACGCTTACTAAAAACAAAACATTATTTTGAACTTCTTAGGCCCTTTAATGTAATCAAACAGCAGTCAACTAATAATTTGTCTAATTTAATAAGTACCTGGGCGACCAAGTTTTACTTGGCTTTAGAAAAAGAAATCTCAGGGATGACACATATCCAGATAAACTTGGGATATTTTATATTATAAATAAAAACCAAATCCTTACCGCCGTTGCCGAAAAACCTATTATATTGGGTCCTTACATATGAAGTTAGCGCTTTGTCGTACTGACTACTTTCATCTGAAATATCTCCTCTTTAGTTAAGAATTCCAAATTCAAATTTATAAATTCATTTAGCTGGTACATTTGAGTTTTGAAAACAGTCATTCATTTGTTTTTCCTCATTATTTTTTTCTTTGGTGTCACTTATTATATATTTACGACTTCGAGTTCTACCGTGGCACCAGTGCTGCAGAGACAGCTCGAAGGATTAATGATGTATGGGGCGCTGGTGTCGCAAAAGAAAGCACAGTACGTTTTTGGTTTCAACGTTTTCGTTCTGGAAATTTCGACCTTCAGAACCAACCCCGTGGACGGTCGGAGAACAAAGTAGAAAATGAAGAATTAAAGGCTATTGTGGAAGCGGATCCATCACAAAGCACTTCAGAGATAGCTGCAGGCTTCGGGGTAAGTGATAAAACTGTATTAATCCACTTGAAGCAAATCGCGAAAGTAAAAAAAACTTGAACGATGGGTACCTCATGAATTGAGTGAATCGAACTTGCAAACACGCGTCGACTGCTGTGTTACTTTGCTCAACTGACACAAAAATGAAGGGATTTTAAATCGAATCATTACTTGTGATGAAAAATGGATACTGTACGATAATCGGAAGTGCTCGTCGCAATGGCTGAACCCTGGAGACCCAGCCAAATCCTGCTCTAAACGAAAATTGACTCGGAAAATGTTACTTGTGAGTGTTTGGTGGACTAGTGACGGCGTCGTTCACTACAGCTTTCTAAAATCTGGCAGATATCTATTGTCAGCAACTACAAACCATGAAGGAAGAACTAGCTGCTAAACAACCGAGATTGGTCGCTCTAGGCCACTGCTGCTTCACGACAACGCAAGACCACACACTGCACAACAAACAACCACTAAGTTAGATGAGCTAAAATCGGAATATCTGCGACATCCACCGTACTCCCCGGACCTTGCTTAAACAGATTACCATTTTTTCCGGAATTTGGACAATTTCTTACAAGGAAACAAATTCAACTCCGATGCGGCAGTCCAAACCGCATTCACAGAGTTTATTGATTCTCGCCCCCATGGTTTTTTTAGTAAAGGGATCAATGCTAATTACCTATGAGATGGCAAA